CGGTTGGTTTAAATGTTAAACACAGATCCACGCTCCTGCCCACGCACAGCGGGCTGTACTGAATCCACTGACCTACGTTTTCCCTCCTGCTTTACTGCTGGCTACAGCTGTGATTCTGTCGCGAAGGGCCTGCGTGGAAATTTAAACTGCCTGCTCTGCGAAGACTGAGTACTATCAAATTAACTGGACACCAACAGCACTGATTTCCGCTTTCAGAGTAAAAGCGTGAGAAGTAACACAGAAACAAAAAAACGTTTTCACTTAGAAGCAACAATTCTGATTAGCAGCAAGAGTTGCATCAGCAGTTTGATTTATCTTCTTTCCAGCAATGTCATCAGTGTTTTTAATGCATTCATCTATTTGTTTGTTTGTATTTCAGTTTAACTTTGCTTAATTATAGCAGATTTAGCTGACACAGAGACCCCATCTTTACACTATTTAATCGCTTCCTTCATGTTGTTTTGCAGTAACAACATCACTTTGACATGTGACTGTAGTACCTGGAGAACCGCGTTGAAAGGATTCGGGCTTTTATTTTGAAGGCGGAGAGTCGTATTTCCGTTCACAGACTCGGTAATGCTGTGATCGCTGCGGTTCTTTGTTTCTACTCAGAATGATGTAACTACACTTAGCATCAACACAATATGCCGTCTGCGATCTCACACTATTATTTCACAGGATGCTACACTTGACATCTGTGACTGCTGACCAGTAATCCGTGTAGAAAAATTAATAAATATACTAACAAAAGTGTCACACATGTCTCATTTATCATTAATAGTGCGTTTAGGTTGTTTGGGGTTGTTTGTGGCTGTTTTGATTTTTTGTTTTGATTTTAAATCAGTGGTGTCACACTAACTTTTGTTCCGTAACCATATGCAGTGTACATGTGATCTGCAGTGGGCTGGTCCAGTAAAACCATTGTACATAACCAATAAAGATGAAGCATGCTTGAACAGGAAAATAAATAATATGTATTTTGTGCCATCAATATGCAGTGATCGACATTAGCGTTTGATTAGCACGTGATGTTAAAAACGAAAGTTCTTGTTACATTTAGTGAGCTATTTTAACTCTATTCTATATTTGAATTATTTATAAATGTACAAATATTTTTACTTTCTCTGAATTTGCTTTATTTAAATTAGATGTCAGTAAGCATAAAATCATCTATTTATTAAAGCTTTTTGCTATTTATGGAGGACAACATGACTGTGGTATGACACAAATGTGGGTGTGTCCTCATCTCTCAGAGGAGTCATCAAACAGACAGAAAAAAACATTTGAAAATAAACAACCAAACTATGAGCTGTGATTTAATTACTTAATTACTAATTGATTTAATTACTTTATGATCTCTGTGAAAATTTCTTCCACACCATTTACTGCATATATCACAGCACTCAGGTACTGCAGGTGCAGTGAATGCTTAAACTGTACTGATTGGAATATACCCGACATTCAGTGACATTTAGCAGACTTTGTTGGGATTTGGCTGGGTTTTGATGAATTCATCATGCATCCAACTTTTGAGTATTACTTTTCAAACTGAATTAATAAAGACAAGCATCATGTAAAAAAATAAAATAAAACCACACATTGTCTTTGATCATCATTTATGTCCAGTTGAGAATGAATCTATGCACTCACATATTAAAATAAATGAACTTAAATCAGTAGTGCCATCTCCGGTCTTGGCAGAGGGCAGTGATATAAGGAATAGGAGAACTGACAGCTATTCTTAAAAAGAAAAAAAAAATCCATTAACCTTTTGTCTTTTTAAAATTTTGTTTTAAAAACGATTTTGGAAATCAGAAAATGGTTTTTGAAACGAGGTTTTCATTGAGAGTTTAATTCTTTTTTGTGAAATTAATTAATTAATGGATCAATAATTCATTCTTGTTTACAGGAGGTAAACAACACAGACTCAAACACAGGCTGAGATAACACAATAAGATCACTGAGAACTAAAGAAACCCAAAAACATGAACAACAATAATTAAAGAACATAATTACAAAGACTGAAACACAAATACTGGATCGCAGTTTCAGTACTGTGAGAGTAAAAGTGTGTTTTTAAACAAGACTTAAAAACAGCCTGACACTTTTCTGTCACCAAGTGGGTCACAAATCTGGGACACTGTTAACATAAAAATCACACAGCTGCTCAGATGTAAGGATGCAGGATGGTTGTTTCTCTTTTCTCCTCTCAAATCGTGTACA